CCTCTTCAAACATGGTGGAGAGTCCCTGAGAATTCGACAACCTTCACAGTCCTCTCCCTGGTATCGATCTATGTTTGGTTTCCAAACTGACCCCCAGGGTGTTGGAACCGAACATTTATGTGCTTTTGCAGTGCAACAAGAACGCATCTGCACGATTACTGAGAAACCATGGACGCACAGTCTTGCAGAACCAGGATGTGCCCTGTGGCGGCTCTCCCACTGTCTGTTAGCAGAAGAGGGTCAAGTATGTAAAGAACCCTTTGCCAATGTCTGCCATCTCTTGTTAGGTAACTTTCCAGTCATCATCATTGGGGGTTTCCTACAGGATTGGTGCCTTAGCATCTGTCCTCAAAGTGCACGTGCTGCGTACCCGCAACTTCAGTCAAACATTTGGCGAACAGGTCAGGTACCTAACCTGTGTCTACTGCTTATACATCAGGCTGATAAGTCCAATGCCGAAAACTGCGAACAACTAATTTCTCTGACGCCCATGCAACATTCACCACACCCAACTTTGCCAACAACTGCCATAATTGAACAAGCTGCAGCAAATATACCTGCAGAAGCCTGTATTGATGATTGTCAACTTATGACATTACTGTCAGGTTGGTACGCTTGCACACAAGGAGAGATCTCTGCCAAGCTATTTTGCAGGGCAAAAGCTCTGCTACCGATTGAACGACGCACTTATGTAACTTACCCATCAAATCTCTCCGACTAGTGCAGCGTACTATCTCTACAGGCCTCCGAGCAGTTTATTGGCATACTACCCAGCAAACCAACAGTTCGTCAATCACACATGTTTCTTCACTTCACTTTCTCATTCATTTTATCCCCTCATCCTATGTGGTTTTGACTGCAATGTCAACTTGTCCGACGCTTTACACGCAATACGCGTAAACATTGGCAAGTATAAAGAGTGCATCGTTCCAGACTCCTCCATGTCTGTCGGTGTTGCTCCTTTAATACTTCCCAATGAAGTGCAATCGTTACGTCAAGTCCCATCGCAGTTTTGGCAGCTTTGTCATGGCATCCTGCATTTTCGAATGTTACGACCCAGTAATCTACCGGTCTCCATTAAGGGAATTCACTCTTGGAACCTTAATAGTTGGTCTCCTGGGCTTCCCACCAATATACATAAAACATGGGTCGTTAGAACCATGTTAAAGCAAGCCCCTGTGCTACTACAAGAGACGAAATGGAACCAGGCCAATCTCCAGTATTTATCGCACACATGGCCTGACATCAGAGTAGTTACTACCCTTGCCAAACAGAATCCAGGAGAACAAGCAGGAGTTGCGATCCTTTTTCCCCCAGGCTGGAAAGTTCAAGAAGAGAAAGTGCTGGTTAAACATTATGCTGTCGCTGCCTGTGTTGAATATCAAGCTTGCACCATTTGGCTTGTCTCGATTTACATACCCCCTAACAGTCCGAAGTCTTTTGTTGCTGCGACATTACAAACTATTCTTGCGCTGACCAATCATCCTGTCTTTGTAGGAGGAGATTTCAATCGATGTGATCAGAACCACTTCCACACGTGGGATGACTTCCTGGTAAGAGCCGGGCTCACAGATGTTGATCCTATGCTCCCCACTTACAAATACCAAGACCAAGAATCCGCGCTGGATCGTTTCTTAGTACCCAGCCTCTTTCTGGATACTACGCAGCTTTTTGCGCGTATCTATGGCAGATACCGGATAGATACCTGCCACCATAAGGCGCTGATGCTACGACTAAAAATGAAACCTCGTCTTCGACCACATCCTCAGTCTGAAAAGCATCATACGATACCAACTCAAGTCTTTCTAGATCCAACAGCCACATCAGAAGGGCTGCAAGCAGTTGCAAGGCAAGCTTCTCTGCTTGCTCTCAAACGAAAAATCTCTCTTGCGCAAGAAACTAAAATTGCTAGTGCTGTATTCTCGCAGCCGGAGCACCCTGGTATCTGCAGTTCGTATCCACGGTGCGGAAACTCTCAATGCTCAAGGCCTTCGAGGGCATGGACTATCTCCTCCCCACGATCAGCAAAGACTTCGCAGGACTGATCCCGCGCCCCTCGCACTAAAGTTGTACTACAAAGTCGCCAGTTCCCATCTTCCAGCTCCCCAGATACCCCGATAAAGTTGTACCACAAAGTCACGATCTCCACAGAGGGTTGCCCGCGTCCAGGATGAATCGCGCTCTCGCCTACATTTCGCGCACTCGACGCGCACGATCTCCGCAAAGGGTTGCGCGCGCTCTGGACAGATCGCACTCTCGCCTGCATTTCGCGCACTCGACACGCGCGATCTCCGCAGAGGGTTGCGCGCGCTCCGGACAGGGACAGATCGCGCTCTCGCCTGCATTTCGCGCACTCGACGCGCACGATCTCCGCAGAGGGTTGCGCGGGTACTGGTCACATCGCGCTCTCGCCTGCGTTTCGCGCACTCGACACGCACGATCTCCGCAGAGGGTGGCGCGGGCATGGGACAAATCGCACTCTCGCCTGCACTTCGCGCACTCGACACGCGCGATCTCCGCAGAGGGTTGCGCGCACACCGGACAAATCGCACTCTCGCCTGCATTTCGTGCGCGCGACACGCACGATCTCCGCAGAGGGTTGCATTTTCGGTTGACGCTGTTCGTCCCACCCTCCGCCTTTAAGAGAGAATTTATAGAGTGGGGAAATGTTTTTCATTAGGACATCTCCCGTGCAAGTTTTCCATTCTCACACTTGCGTACTCATTGCGTACTCATTACACTTGCATACTTTTGCACTTGGATACTTGCCGTTGGATGCTTTCACTCTTCCACTTACACTGGGGTACGTATAGAAGTGTAAGTGTTCATGTTCATGTTCAAGTGTAAGTGTGGAAGCGTAAGTGTTCAAGTGTACGTGTCGAAATGTCAGTGTTCAAGTGCAAGTGTGGAAGTGTCGGTGTGTGAGTGTAAGTGTAGAAGTGTCAGTGTTCAAGAGATTTTCCGGAAGAACCCTTCGCAATCCTTTCGGGAAAAAAAGGCATTGTGCGGGATTGCATCTGAGGCATTCGCCGGGACCCGCAAAGCTTTTAGGCAGTCCATGATTCTTCTTTCTGGGTTTGCTGTTTGTGTTCACATACTTCAAAACATTGTCGCACCACTAGGTGAAAATTTGTGTTGCCTCGAAGAGTGTCCTTTTTGGGGTCTGTTAGAGACTCTTGAGTGTCTACCTCTCTTTGCTAAGCTGTTTCGAGGAGCATCACTGTAAGGTAGCCATTGTTGAGAGCCAACCAAAACAGATACAGTGCAAGACACCACTCATGAAAGGTCACACTGCTGGCAAAGAATTGCCCTTTCGTTTGGCAATCTAGGGCTTTCTACTTCGCAGTGGTTTTCCATTGACCGTCTTCTAGAGCAATTACACGTCTGACCGCTGCTTTTAAAATGCAGCAGCAAACTGCTTGCCTGTGCCACAAGCCAGCACTGCATTCGCACCTCCGCAACTGCTCACTTCTGAGGCGTCTTGCAATAATTCAACGCCCCACATAAGTTTCACCAAGGTTTCAAGACTTGTCTCACTTCTGCATGATGTGCCTGAGTCTCCTCACCGGCCATGCGGTCTTGTTCGTTCGTTTTGGGGGGTGGTTCTTGGTTTGGTTGTTTTTGTCATATCATGGCCGGAGACTCATTCATAAGTAGCACAAGCTGACCTGGAAAAAAAGGTTAACTTGAACGTCATTTTGCTCTGCCATTTCGTTGCCTCATGACCCCCGGCTTGGAGGTCAGATCCCCCCAAAATAGGGACCGCTCGTTGAGGCATTTTTGTGGCGCTTCTGCAAACAAATGCGAAAACGCATGGTCGATCCGAGCCTTCCAGGTGCGAGATGAGATTGCCGCCCACGGGAACGTCAAACCTTGCAAGTCCAGCGTCGACGCCCCGACATGCCCGTCTAGCGGCGACTGGGGAGGGCGACCCCGGAATCCAGAGCGTTTTTGGCCCTCGTTTTTGTAGGTGTTGGTATGGTGTCATGATGGGCGTTTTGCAGGCGCGGTGTTTTTTGGTTGGTCGGCTGTCTGTTGTTCGTCCGTTCGGGTGGGCGGAAGGGGTGGCGTTGCGTGGTTAGTTGGATATTTGGTGGGTTGCGTGTTGTAGGTTAGGGGAAGTGACCTTGCGTTGGATAGTTTGTAGTTTTGTGTGTGATGGGGCTTGTCAAGTCAACTAACTCCATAGCGAACTTCAGCCGCAACTACACCAACCCGGCCTCGGCAGAACGAGCGCTTGTTCACCTTGCCCAATTTTACGCCGAACAAGGGCTTGACTCAACGGACTGTATGCGAAGTGCGATTCACGGCTTTTGTGTGTGTCCACACCTGTTTCCAAGGAACCTGCATTGAACAACTCACCACTGGTGGACCGTCTCTCTCTTTCAGCAGGGGGATGCTGGGGACTTCCATGGTCGGCATCCTGTGATATGAGTCAGGGACGCCTGACTCACGTACCTGCATCTTTGAAGGGCTACTGAGCGATGTTGAACAATTCTGTGTTCGGACTTCTTCACCTTTTCCGTTCCATCAGCCAAGGTCCAGTTCAGTGTAAAGTGGAACTTCGTCAACTGATTGCAAGAATCAATCTGACTGTGTTGCCCACGTTTGCAGTGGAGCCGGTGGCTTCACTGGCTGCATCCTTATAGCCTTATAAGGTCCACAATGGTGCAATGAGGGGTTGCCGCGTGACGACGTGTTTTTGGTGTAGAAGAGTAAACATGGTGTTTAGAATTCAATATTTTTGCATTTTTTCATGCAGCGCTTTTGATGATGAGAGATGTTGGATTTTTTTTTTTCGACGTGTGTTCTTTTTGGGCTCAAGTCGTGTTGCGTTTGAGGGTACCGCAACAAGTTGCACTCACCAAAGTCCATGTCGCCCCACCCGATGCAAAACACAACATTTTGATGATGAAGTTGTTGGTCCAGGTTATTTTGGAATGATTTGGATCGTTCTTGCTACTCGCCCATTATTTTTGGCCTACTCAAAGTTGCTAGACCATTCCCAGTGTTTTTCATTTATCGGCATTGTTTTTGCAAATGGATGATTTTCATGAGGCTTGGAAAAGACATTGATCATTGGCTGCTTTGATTTAATTCTCTATTTGTATTCCTGAACGTTTCACGTGTGAGGAAATCTTGGACGACGATGAGGATCCAAAGCAAGTTTTGGTGCCTTGGATGATGTGTTTTGAAAAATCGACCCACTTCAACATTTGCCAAGATCTTCATCGTGCATGCGGTGAGCATCATCATGTTGTGCAAACTCTGTCAAGTCCCCAGCTGATAGGAGCAACAAGCTACTAGGGGCTCCTGGCCTTACTACTAGGAGCAAGGACGCTACTAGGGGCTTATCAGCTTTCGGCACTTGCGTGGATGCCGCAGAGATCAGGTTGTTGCGCTCCAGCGCAACCAGTGCAGACGAACCTTCGTGGGGTCGAGGTGGTCCAATTGATTTGAAAATCACTCTCAGGAATGATATGCAAGAACCAGAAGCAGTCATGAACACTCCACATAGAAGATAGAAGGGCCATGTGAAAGTTGGTGTCGACAACACGTTTTTACAATTCTTTCAGGTGAGCAGTAGTGCCTTGCAGCAGCAGAAACGATTGTGCAAAAGGAGCTGGGTGGGGTAATTCGAGTGGACGATAGCACCTTCACAGGTTTTTTATGCATCGACTCGCAAAAGGTTTCCATGAGTGGAAAGTTGAAACTCATTTGAGTAAACCTCCCATTCGATCCCGCTGCCAGTTATTTGCTTTGGCTGAACCCTCTGGTCCCAGCGCATCATTTTTACTTGGAGCGCTTGGTGCATGGGCGCCTGGCTCAGTCACAAGTTGCTTTTGGATTTAGGTCAAGGGCATGGGCATCCTGTAAACCTGCATTTCCTTGGTGACGCATGGCCGCTCTAAATCTGGGCCACCATGTGCCGTTCGACATTCGCTCGACCGCGTGTGAATAAAAAATACCTGCTTGTCCCAAAGTCAGTGTCAGGTAGCTTTTGTTCCAAGGCTCGTGGCACTTTGGACGCTAAACTTCTTTTTAGTTGGTTTCATCCTTAGGGCCAGCTGAAACGAAGACCAACATGTGCTACTAGTAGTAGAGAAGTTGTTGAGTCCATCATCTAAGGCCTAATGATGTCATTGTTTTTCTATTTCTTTCCGTTGGACTTCAGATCTTTCTATTTTTTTTGCTCTTTCAAGTCTCTTACTAGTAGCTACCTCAAGAGATAATTAGTAGTAGTAAGGCCAGGAGCCCCTAGTAGTGTCCTTGTTCCTAGTAGTAATGCCAGGAGCCCTAGTAGCGTCCTTGCTCCTAGTAGTAAGGCCAGGAGCCCCTAGTGGGGCTCCTAGTAGCGTCCTTGCTCCTAGTAGTAAGGCCAGGAGCCCTAGTAGCGTCCTTGCTCCTAGTAGTAAGGCCAGGAGCCGCTAGTAGCTTCTTTGCTCCTAGTAAGGGCCAGGAGCCCCTAGTAGCGTCCTTGCTCCCAGTGGTAAGACCAGGAGCTCCTAGTAGCGTCCTTGTTCGTTAGAAAGAATTTACCAAACTCCCTGTTACTACTAGCGTGGCACTTGTTACTACTAGCTTCTTGTTACT